TACGGCTTGTTGTAGCTTAACCGCGATCTCTGCTGCTTTCTGTTCGTCCGAAAGCTGTTTGGCTGGTTTCCGTTGTTGTCTTTCGTTGCCAAGCTCTAGCTGCAGCGGCTCTACCTCATGTCTATGCTATAAGAAGAAGGGTGACATTCTAGTCGACGTTGCATTCCTGCCATTAATCGCAATCTAGGCCATTAGGCAGAGCCGTGCCTAGTCGTCCTAAGCCTAGTTTGTAAACGATTGGATATAGGTTTCCTAGACGCTGTTCATCCTCTCTATTGCGCTGTCTATCTGTAGGTGGTAGGCAGTTAATAGTCTCCGCTTGATCTTCAGAAGCTCGCATAGTTTAGCCTATAGTGTACTCACGAACTAGCTGCCTCTGTCAGAGGTAATAGCGTCTGGTAGCCAGTGATATGCAACCACGCGCTCGATGAACTTTTGGACGACGGTTTCCGTCTTCGTATCCGGGAGCGGTACGAAGATCGCACCCTTGCTAAGCTAGTCAGTGACCACCATCAGGCTAGTCATGCCTTCGCTCTCTGGTAGTCCTTCGACGAAATCTATGGAGATCTCCTTCCAGATCCAAGTGGGTATCGGCAGTGGTTTCAGAAGGCCTTGCGTGCCCTCTCTCCAGGACTTGCTCCGTCCGCAGGTGTCACAGTTTCTAACGTATCTTCGGATCAAATTGGTCATGCCTGGCCAAAAGTAGTCCCTTGCGAGAATCTTGTACGTTAGCTCACGCCCTGGGTGACTAGTGACTAGTGAGTCGTGGGCACTGCTGATGATTGCCGTTCGCAACTTGTTGTTGTCTAGCACCCACTTACGCCCTTAGTAAAATAGGACTTTACTATCTACTAAGCAGTCTTTAATTAAGCACTTTAGGCCTAAGTTTACGGGGAAACGTCTCTCTTAGTCCTCTACTGCCTTCTTCGCTCTTTAGTAGACATGATCCTTTGCTGTCGCTTCTTGCTAAAGCTTCTCTAACTTATTCTGCTCTAGCACTTTTTTATTTAGTACTCTAGGAAGGAGCTGATCTAATTCTTCTCTAGATAGGGGGATAGCCTCCTCTTCCCGCTGCTGGCTTCGTGTCCTTGTTGCCATTACTAAGATAGCTTCTTCTAGTTCTTCTTCTGTTACCTCCTAATAGGAGTTTGTTGGCTTAAATATTTGTACGAAGCGCTTTTGTAAGCGCTCGTCTTCTGCCCTAACAGGCAGGTCTTGTTCTCTTCTTAAGAGCGCGTTGGCTCTCACGTTCTACTTACCTGGCTGATATAGCAGCTCTAGGTTGTATCTACCAAGTAAAAGCAACTATCTCACTTAACGTTCGTTTAGCATACGAGGTTTCATGAAGTACTCTAGATTCTTATAATCTATGATTACCTTGAACTTCTCAACTAAACGCAGTTTGGAGTCCTATTCCTTAAGGCATCGTACTACCGCGAGTAACTCCTTGTTATGGATTTTATAGTTGCACTCGTGCGCGCTATTCTTCCACAAGAAAAACGCGCAGGGTTGTAAGACTCTATTATTACTGTACTGCGATAGCACTCCGCCTACCGCGTAGCCGCTCGAATCGCACTCGAGCACTGTCTCCCAATCTAGGTCGAACGCCGCTAGCGTTAGCTCCATAACAAAGATCTCTTTTAGCTTGTCAAAGGCTAATTGCTCTTTAGGTCCCTATTAGAAAGGGACGTCGCCTGTAAGTCTAGTAAGAGGTGCAGCTAGCTGTGCAAAGTTCTTAATAAACCTTTAGTAGAAGTTTGCAAATCCTAAGAACGATCTTACTCCCTTTACTATCTTTAGTGCCTCCCACTCGCGAATTGCGGCTATCTTAGCTAGATCCATGCTTATCCCCTTGCCTGCTTTAATAATAAACCTAAGGTACTTAGTCGTCTTGACTTCGAACTTGTACTTCTTAATGTCCACTTGTAACCCTGCGGCTTGTAGCTTACTAAGTACTTTTTAGACATGCTCTTAATGCTAGCGCAGATCGCCGTTAGTATAGATTAGCACGTCGTCTAGATAAGCTAAGCAGAAGTCGTCTAGGTGTTCTCTTAAGGTCTAGTTAATATATTGTTGGAAGGTACTTAGGGAGTTCGCCATGCTAAAGGGGGTCGATATAGTAAATAGCTAGAAATAGATCTTATCTGATATTAGTCAAGTGGTTTTAATGTTGGTTAAATATGTAAAGGGCTACGCCAGAGAGGCATGACCTACAGGTCACATAGCAGTGAATTACATGACTTTAGTCACGTGACTAAATGACGTGGTTAGTTACGTACGAACAAGCTTAAGTAAGGAGGAAGACTAAAGGTCTGAGCGTTCGTACGAGTAACAACTATAAAAGGAGGGCCCTCTAGATAGTTCTTTTCTGTATCTTTCTTCTTCTGTACAATAGGTGAATGCATACTCGTTAGTTAGGCCTCTCTCGCCCATAACAAAATATACATTATCATTATCACGTTATTTGTTAGAATATTAGCTGAATAATTATACTAGAGTCTTTCTAATATTAAACCCTTCTATATAGAACTATTTAATAAACCTAACAATATTAATTACATCTATACTATGTATCTTAGCTATAATGTTAGTTATCTTAACAACTAGCTAAAGTTTAATTTCAAATCTATCTTGTTAAAGAACACTTTCTTGAAAATTGTAAAGTTGATTTTATTTAAACTGTGGGTTAAAAGTCTTGTTTCAAAAATTTACTTATATTAGTTCTTACTACATTAAGAACACTGGCTAGTGTTTCACTATATATATCTAATAATACTAGCAACGATTAAGTTTAATACTAATAAATAAAAACTATATATAAGTCCTAGTAACGTTATTAGGCTATATAGTAAAGCGTATCGCTTTCACTTTCCAATATACCTAAATATAACACTGTAAAGAATTCTGAATAAACTATACTAAAAAGAACAAAGATTCAAGTCAGAGAATCTAGTTATGGATAACAGATAGTGTTAACAAACGCTTCTAAAAGGGGTTTAGGATAACAGAGGTTTCTTATAAATATCAATACTAGAAACGTTATAAAAGTTAGTCATTACCTATTATACTGATAGGTTACGCTTTTATACTTTCAAGTACTACATCAAATTAGGTTCCTTTTAAGTGTTAGGTTTTTCAATTTAAAGGGTTTAAATTTCAACTTAGTCTACACTATAACACTCAGTAGTAGTAGGTTATCATACATGCTAGTAAAGTAGTATCAATAGTAGTTAGTAATTTCTGTTAGATTTCCTTCAGTGCATATATTATAATATTTCTTATAAAACTCTATCTGAATTAGTTTACTATAAAATAACAGGCAGTATTATATTAGTAACTTTTGTAAAGAATTAACATAATGCTTTTATTATATAGTGTAAATATATTATAGGATTTTTATAATTTTATATATGTTAATCTGCTAAGTGTTAAGATTTATTCTAACATAGCTGAAAACAAGGTTTATACGATGATTGTTATCACGTAAAATCCAAGTAAATCATTAATAAAAAATATCTAGATTAGTACAAAAACGGCCGCGGCTCAAGGAAGAGCTTATATGATTACCTTATCTCCCTTACTTATATACTTTGTATGTAATACAGCCGTTCATAAGTGTATAATAATTAAATTTAAACTATATATTATAATATTAATGTAGAAGATTTATCTTTTTAACCATCTCTTAGAGTCTGTCTTGAAGATCTATACCTGGAAAGGTAATGAGAACGCAACTCTAAAACGCGCAACCCCACAGGTCCTGAGTGAGGGAGCTGTGCCGCGAACTTCCTTGGACACTTGCTTGAACTAAGACATCCGACACCCGCCACTGCAGAGAGCTCCTCGTTGCCACTTGCTGTGGGTAGCCACATCCCCGCCACTATGTAGTAGTGCTTACAACCCTTTGTCAAGGGTCCTAAACATTTAACGGGCATCTCTATATAAGCTATAAGGTAAGCACTATTCGACGGCTACCATTGAATGCTTGTTTTCTAATTGTGGGGAACTATAGATATAGTGCTTACATATTAGAGTCGGCATAAGCGGCAGCGCACAGTGCCGTGCAGGAACTAGACACGGTTTTCCTAGCATGATATGTTGTTGAGATCACTAACGATGTGGAAGGACATCCGCCTCGGTCCTTCTCTGCGCTACTCGCGCAAGACGACGCACGATGTCGCCAAGATTATAAAACATGTTGTTGGATAAGACGTTTCAATACATCACATGGCAACCCTAAGTAGTAGTGGTAGCTCTGAGCCCTCCTCCTATGCAATTTACTAAGGACGAGATGTATTGAAGTGCAATAGCAGCGAAGCCTTGCTATAGGATACGATTAAGGTTACATAATCTTAGCTTCTGCTTTTTAGGCTTGAGATAGGTGTGCCCTATCTCGTTCTCTAGAACCGTCATTTGTTGACGTCACTGAATGGTAATATTACTATGTTACAGTTGTTTTGATCTGTACGAATTTTAGCCGAACAAAATTACCTATCTACTCTGCTACCTCTACTTGCGCATTATATCAAGCATATACCTCCAGCTTGTGAGACTAGGCTGCCAGCCGTGATTACGCACAGCGTTCGATAGCTTATCATTACTGCATGGTTTCTCGGTCATGACTAGTCATGAATAGACACCCTAGGCAGCCTGCTACCGCTGTAAGTTGTGCGCTTCGCCCTTCCTCATGCCGCATGGGGGATTTTTACGTAGGGACGGCAAATGCGAAACATCACATCCCATCACATCGGGCACAACTAGTGCACGACGGGCTTCTCGGGCATACAACAAAGTGGAGATTATCTGGTGATGGCTTCAAATTAAATGCTGCTAGCCATTTGCGGTATGAGCGTATCACACTAAAGTATAAGGTCTTTGAGTAAGTACTTACTTTTCAAGACTTGCTAATTTTTCAACATAATTCGCCTTGCATGATATCGGTGTTGGATCAGAATCAGCATTACTACTCTTTGGCCACTCACTCTCAAGCCGCTTGCATGATGCAAGATACCGCCCCACGACAGCCTAAGCTACGAGCAAGCTGCGATCAATGTGGCTCTGCGAAACTAAAGTGTGATCGTCGACGTCCGTCTTGTGGCCGTTGTCAACAGTCATACCTGCAGTGTGTGTATGGAATCAACCGGAGAACGAATAAGAAGTCGACCTACAAGAACACGGAGGGTGCTACCCAGCGCTCGTCCCCTGAAGGAATGGGAGAACTTGGTCCGAGCCAAGATAACCCCCAATACGATTATGGAAAACAAGATGTTGATAGTCGATTGGATATGGATTCGTTTCTGGGTCCATTGATCGTGCCAGACAACACTACTCTCGATCTTGCGCATATTTGCAGTACTGGAGCAATGCCAACGATTGAGCAATTCAGCAATCTGGATATCGATGTCTGGGATCTTACAGCTACATTCGAGAAAGATTGCGAGACAACACTGCTAAGGACTTTGACAGAGACTAAGGACGTCTCCGAACGACTGCACTTGAGCACTACCACTTCGCCGCCTCATTCTACTTCCATACATGACTGCCACAGGGATGCATGTCTTGTATTCGAAAGTGTCTCTCACCTAAACGTCGAAAACGTCGGCGAGATCCAAGCAGACGTTAGACCAGGAGCAACTTCAAGACCTCAAGCACCTCTGGATCATGTTCTCAGGATCAACAGAGCCGCCTGTGAGAGCCTCATCCGGCTGCTCGAATGTCCATGTGCAATATCACCACACTTGGCTTTACTTTATGCATCTATATTATCGAGAGTCCTTATTTGGTACCAGGACGCCATAGGGTGCGCTACAAGCACACCAATCATTCCCCTCTCCACCGGAAAAAGTCCACCAACATCGCTGTACACTCGCTATCTATCAACATCATCGTCATCATCATCCATGAACAATTTGGCCGACTCCGCCTTCGCAGGACACACGTTAGATAGTTCTGAATCTTCAGGGTCAAGTGAAACCTGCCCTTCCTCTAAACGGAATCCAAGCATACCTGCCTGGGCACAAGAAGTGGCACCAACACGGATCTTCATGGGTACATTCGAAATTGATGATCAGTACGTCCAAGCAGACATGAACAAATATATGATTGCAAGCGAGATTACGAGAGCTAGCGCTGTTATAGATGCCTTTGCTACACGTGGAGGAAACAGCACAGACGAAGCATGCTTAGTCGGAGAAGTCGACAGTTTATACAGGAGCTTGAGTGCTTGGCTTCGTATGCAGCTCTCAAAAACAGTGGATCTCACCAAACCTAATCTTGGCAGGTAGAATAATAATGACTGTGCAATAAGTAGAATAGTATATAGTGGTAGGATAAGATACCACGTTCTAAGATCCAAGCATAACACCGTAGTGATATTATGAATAGATTTCTCTCTGTTATCTGCTATGTCTATGAATATCTATTTGTATATACACCTATAATCCTTTTCAATTTAAGCCCTTTATCTATATTTCAAGATCAACATATCAAAACTCTAATCATTTCTAATTTATAAATAGAACTACAAATGTAAGGTAGAAACCTCTATCAATATTATCCCTTTAATAAATTGTATTAGAGAAGATATTAAAGAGTGTATCTATTAGACTAATATTAATGTCTCTTACATATAAAAGAACTATTATATTCAAGATACATGTAGAGAAATGAAATTCAAATTTCAAAATACAATAATAGAGAAATAGATAGCATTTATAGAGAATTCTATCCGAATCTTCAATCTAGAATAATAATGATAATAAAAATAGAATAAAATCAAGTTTACTATACAAAGTAGCTATCGTAGCGTGTAAGGGGCTGCGCTCCAGGGAGCAATTGCGAGGTATACAAGAGGTTGTATTCGATAGAGAGCTATAGAGTCTACTTGCGTGGTGTTTATTTACTTGTCGGAGAAAGGTTGCACCGAGTGTCTGAGCGCGTCGTCTGGGCGCCGCTAGGCCTCGCACAGATGCCGGGTTGCAGAGTAAGACCTGGCGTCTGCTGCTTGACCGAGATTCCATCGAGGAGCTATCCAAAGGGCGTTCAGCCCGTTACAA